TGTAAATAAAAGCCTATATTAAAATCTGTTCATCATATAAAGCGAATGTGTCTTTTTAGAAGACTTGGATTAAACCAATTTCAAAGCTTGAAATAATGATTGCCTTGAAAAAATGGATGTGCAAAAAAATTTAAATATTAAAATATCTATATGGCAGTATACAGTAGTATGTGTTTGTTTTGCCAATGGTATTGAAAATGATTAGTCGTCATGAAATCAAAAATGACCCTACTTACTTTTTAGTGCACATTACTAGTCTTGTGGTGATCAATTGAACCGTGCAAGTCAATACACTGAAAAAAATTCAGTCGTAATCTTTAATCAAAAACTGAATATTGGCTTCCACTCTGGATTGGCGTTCTCGCTCTGATGACGTCAGTTTGACGGCTTCGGGAGAAATGCTTCAGACCCTCATTTGTATAACCAGTGTCATGAAAGCAGTGTTTCTTGTGTGTCTCATGTTTGGCAGAGCGTTAGGACCCAGAAGTGGTGAAGCGTGATGCCAGACGTAACAAGCAGATATTCTTAACCACTTTCCTGTATCATGGCCACTAATTCACATACTTTGTCAATAAGATAAAAGTGGGTTTTGTTCAAAGTAGCTATTATCCACATACGTATATCTTTGATATGAATGAATATTGTTTGGTAATTCATTAAATATCGCCGGCTAAAAAGTAACTAGTAACTAGTACTCTGAGTAAGCAATATTACACAAGTAGCAGTGCGATATGGCTGTAAATCAGCAGGGAGGGAAGATTTTGTATTTTATTTGTAATCTGTTTTCTAGGTTAGTTTGTAATCGGTAGTTAGTTTTGTTTCTTGTCATTTGTTTTGGCATTTACCCCTCCCAAAGTTTTTTTTTTTATTCATTCTAATTTAATAAACTTTTCTTGCCATGTAAGAGTGTTCTGTGGTTAAAGCCTTGGGAGTGAGAGCGGGGACTCCAGGGATCTTCTGAAGAGAAAGAGTGATTTCTGCACAAAAAAATGTAGGTTTCTGCACTAAATCTTTCTCTCTTCTCATAGTGCTGAAATGTTTCCACACTGGCTTTATGCATGATTTGAGAGAAAGGAAAACTGGTTCTGAAACTACGGCAGTGATGAAGAAAGTGAGCAAGAGGGGGAGAGAGAAATCTTTTGAATGAAGACATCCTTGACTTCTGCTTCTACTGGCTGCTTCTACTCATAATGACTTTCGGTCCCTGACAGAGTCCTCCCCCCCAGACATTATCATGTATTCATGTTTGTCCTCCATTTACTCACACACATCACTGAATTCTAGCACACAACATAGTACAACAGAGCAGATCAGGGAACATCAGTACATACTATATGTAGTGAAACATCAGCAATTAACTGGATAACTTACCTATGATTTGGTGGTTACTGTTCCAGATAGGGACACACAGGACAGATCTAATATGGAAGCCAGAGAACTGATCTGCCTGAAAAGATTACAAACAAACACTTGTCACCATATCAAAAACCAAATGATCTGACTATAAACATGTGAGGAGAAGTGAGCAAAAATATGAGATCATCTGAAGACACAGTGTTATATAAACTTGTGCTGCTGGCATTTTTAAGACACACAAGAGCCGACAGAGGTCCAAGGTCTTATGCAGAGCAGAAGTCTCTCTCATCTTTAATCATGCTGTTTTAAGGAAGATTCTGGGTTAAAGACAACTCTTTCTGTAGCATCTGTAATATGCTGTCCATTACCACAGAATACAATTTCGACTAGTCCCTCAATTCTAAAGTTAAAATGTATATTTTTACATCGACAACACTGCAACAATATATAGTGTGAGACTTAGACTAGCCCTTTTATTATGTTAAAATTCTGGTATGATTGTTATGATGTTAACTGGAGTCTAAGTGTGTAAACCTTTAAAGGTGCAGTAAGGAAAAATCAACACTCCAACAAACAATTTATGAATATTTTCTAGCTGTCTGGTTTTTTGTGTTCTTTCCAGCAGTTCAAACTGTAGAACATGGCTTTAGCAAGATCATGGGTTAGATTACCAACAAAATTCACATGCATGAACTTATAGAAATTCATGCTTTCAATGCAGCATACATTTCTTCAAATAAAAGCGTCCACCAAATGCATGAATGTAAATACCATTAGAACATAGTTGAATTTTGTACACACATTCCAAAACACCTCACAGTGTCGAAATTTTGCAGGCATGTTCATGACCCTAATGGGAAATAGCCACACAATTTCAAGAGAAGAAAAAAAATTCCTAGGTTAACCAGTATTTCTGACAACACAAAAATATGTTTGGGTCAAATTGACCCAGAATAAGGGCTGGTGTGAAAGTACTGCTTTTAAAACTTGTTTAAGTCTGTGACTGACTTTCACATTAACTAAAACAAGGGAACAAATTAGTACAACGTGGCCACAATTTACCGAAAATAAGGGAACAAATGAATAAGCTAGGGCTGGCCGATATGGCCAAAATTTATCATGATATATTTCTTAATTTTGGTTGATACGATATAATTCCAATATCGATATGAACAATATTTAAAAAAAAAAAAGCCTCAGAAAAACTGCCAAGAACGCCCAAAATGGATGTCTGTTCCTACAAACTTCAAAAAAAAAGTAAATGAAACCTCCTCCTATAAAACTATATAATATTTTAGAAATAAAAACAGCACAAATAAATTCATGTTAAACTTTTATTTGTATTTAACCTTCATACAAACAAGAAATGTGAAATCACCGTCAAATAAACATAAGACTCTCAGACTCACCTTATTAATGTTAATATCTTTAAAGGAACACTCCACTATATTTGAAATTAGGCTCATTTTCCAACTCCCCTAGAGTTAAACTGTTTTCGAATCCATTAAGCCGATCTCCGGGTCTGGCGGTAGCACTTTTAGCTGTAGCTTAGCATAGATCATTGAATCTGATTAGACCGTTAGCATCTCGCTCAAAAATGACCAAAGAGTTTCTATATTTTTCCTATTTAAAACTTGACTCTTCTGTAGTTACATCGTGTACTAACATAATATCCTAGTTTTAAATAGGAAAAATATCGAAACTCTTTGGTCATTTTTGAGCGAGATGCTAACGGTCTAATCAGATTCAATGATCTATGCTAAGCTACAGCTAAAAGTGCTACCACCAGACCCGGAGATCGGCTGAATGGATTCGAAAACGGTAAAACTCAACTGTTTATCTCTAGGGGAGTTGGAAAATGAACTTATTTTCAAAAATAGTGGAGTGTTCCTTTAACTTTAAACTATAACATAGGCTGATTATTCTTATAAAATGAAACAAAAGTGCTTCAGCAAGGATAAAGAATATGAAAAGTGCTCAGAGTTGCTGCAGAAAACAGAAAAAAAGAGTGAGCAACAACAAAAAAACCATGTTGCTGCAGACTGGCTTATTGGAAATGCAAATTCATTCTCTGCCAGCAGGAGGTGCTTCTGGAGCGGCAGAAACAGCGGTTTCCGGTACCATAAGTGTCACTTAAAAATGAATGAATGAATGATCAATTTATTAATTAAATAATGTAAATAATAAATCATTTTTCAAAATGACAAATAAATACATATTTCTTAATAACCGTTTATTTAAAATGTTAGTTGAATGTACCAATAAAATAATAAATTATTTTGTCAATGTGAAAGTGGCTTATTTATATATAATTTAATTTTAGAATTAATAATTGATTTTAACTGGCACTCACAGTTCTCAATGGTTAAGTACTGTTTACATGGAGCAGCTGCACCCAGGAAATACATCATTAGCACATAACCAGAAGTTCATTTGCCCAGAATAAAATTTTATAGATCATTTGTCAATGACAAACAACATATTTTATATATCATTTAACAAACAACATGTCTGCTTTTAAACCCTCTGGTGCATTTTCCCCATAATCTTCCATTGTAAAAACCATCTAAAAAATGTAAAAGTTACAATGGTAATAGAGTTATGTTGTTTTTAACCCAGAAAACTCCTTTAATGGGAAGCCAAACATCAGCCACGCTTACGTCATTTTATAGGCTACAATATCTGCTACTGAATTTAAATATACTGAACTCATTTTTTTATTCCAATTGTATTCATTTATTTATTGTTGTTTAGGGATCTTACTTCAGCATCGAAGCGTGGGTCTTGGTAGGCATCGCTGATATTCACAGGAAGCCCAGTGGAGGCGACCAGCTCTGCAATGCTGTTATTAATCAGCCAGTCAGAATAGGATGATTTTTCCATGCTGTCCTTGAAACTGTGGATAAGACAAAGAGGAAGTGACATGTGCTGCTATGTACAAACCCAAGACAACCAGTACTATTACTATTGCTCATACTTCGGCTTAGAGAAAAAAGGAGAGTACTAAAAACAGTTCAGTAACACATTAATTAAGTTATTATAATCAAGGACATTACACGTGCTTTAGTTTGATGTCAACACAGCAAAATAAGTGTACTTCTTTAAAACAACAAAAGTTACACTTACTTTGAAGTAAAACTTCAAATTTGACATAAGTGAATTCTCTAAAAGTGTACTTAAGTGTGTTAAGAAATAGTCATGAAACTCTCTCTTTTTCAGTTTTCAATCATTAATATTCTCCTTTTATTTCATGAATATTTGAAGCAAGTACATTTATCTGCAAGTACATTTTTTAAAAGTATACATACTTTTAAGATTTGAAGTACTGTACATTACAAGTGCACATTCAATACAATTAAAGGGGTCATATGATGCTTTTTTAAAGATCATTATTTTGTGTATTTGGTGTAACAGAATATGTTGACATGCTTTAATGTTCAAAAAACACATTATTTTTCAAATACTGTACATTATTGTAGGTCCTCTATGCCCCGCCTCTCTCAAACGCTTCGTTTTCTACAAAGCCCCCTCCTT